TCCGGGGTGGCTAACCCCCCGGGGGGTTAAAAATCCGAACGAAATTTTACTTCCCTTTCCTTACCTTCCCATTTGGTCAAAAAGCCCCTCCCACACTGGACGCCGGGCTCGATACGGGTATGCTGTAAGTGGCCCGAAACCCAACAAAGAAATATTTTTTTAAAAATTTTACTGGAATTTTACCAGGTAGGTGCTTTATTTGGGCTAAACTTATTTAGTTTTTCCCCTCTAAAATGAAAATTAATAGACTGTTGAGACGCTTTTAATTTCAAAACTGAAATTTTTTTTTTAAGACATTTTTAGCTAAACCCCGTTGTCTGAATTTTGGGGGGGTTTTCCTGGTAATTTCCAAAAGCATGATAATTGTTTTTTTCGTCCTAGCCTAAATAAATTATTTAGGATGAAAAAAAAAAACAAAAGTGCGTTGGTTAAATTCACTATTTTTGGTTTCGAATCTGACAAAAAAAATCCATCTGCTGAAAACCCTGGCCCCCCGCTCCCTTTTTAATTTTTTCCCCAATGATTTTCAATATTTGAAATTATTTTCTTAATAATTTTGCCAAAGGGGAAAAGGGGTAGGGGGGACATGAGGGACAAATTTAGACCTTCTAACCTTTTTTACAACACCCAAAAAAAATTCCCCCCAAAATTTTTTACAAAGTCTTTATCCAAAAATAAGAACAAAAAAACTTTTTTAAAAATTACGGGACATTATTAATTTTATATTTCCCCACCCCCAAAATTTTAAAATTTTAAAAATATTTTTAGAAAATTTAATTTAAGTTTAGGGGGAAATGAAAGGGGGGGGGTTTTTTGAGGGGGGGCTTACCTTTTTTGGGAAAAAATTTTAAAAGTTTAAAGGGGGGAAATGGGAAGGGGTTCGGGTTTTTTCCCAAAGGGAAAGGAAAATTCCCTGGTTTCTTACCCAAATCCCGCCAACCCATCAAAGTCCCCCTTTAATTGGGGTTTTTGTGACAAAAACCATTAATTTCAAAGGGTTTGGAAAAAGGGCTTTTTTTAAAACCCTTTTCAATTTATTCAGTAAAAGGCCTGGGGGGTTGTCGACTGGGGAGTATTTTAAAAAATTGAAATTTTTTAAAAAGGTAATGGCTTTCTTAAAAATTTAAAATTTTATTTTCCAGGGCTTAGCCTTTTTTAAGTTAACCCTTTGAAATAAAAGTTTAATTTTTTGATTTGGAAAACCTTGGTTAAAGGAGTTAGAAATTTTTTCCCCGGTCAGTTAAATTTTGATTCCCCGTTCCCCCCTTTTCCACTCCCTTTTGATTCTGGAAAATTTCCCTCCCTTTAAAAAAACCCTAATGTAAATGTTTTTCAAAATTAAAGTTAAATTTTTTTTTTTTTTTCCCCCCCTTAAAAAAATTTCCATCTTCAAAACCCCCCCTTTTCCTCATCTTGGCTCCCCCTTTCAAAACCCCCTTTCCCCCTAAATGGTTTTTCTCTCCCAAAATTCCCCGGTAAATTTTTGTTTTCCCTTCCCCTTTTTCCCTCTTTAACTCAATTCTCTTTTTTTGAACAAAACCTTTTTAATAAACCTTTTTACACCATCTGTTTTTCTTCCCCCTATAGACCCTGGTCATCTATTTATGTTTTTCCTTTTTCCTCTTCAACCTTTAAAAACTGGAAACTCTTTTACCCCCGGGGAAAAAAAAAACGTGTTACTTTTGAACCCTCTTTCCTTTTTTTTTATCAAAACTTAAAACAACGGCTTTAAAATTTTTCCCCCCCTTTTTCCCCTTTTTTTTTTTTTCTTTTTTTCCTTCCTTTTAATCTTAATTTCTTTTTTTCCTTCCTTTCCCCCCCACTTGTTTACCCTTTAAAACACCCTCTTAAACCCTTTTTTTCCCTCCTTCCTCCTTTTCCTTTTTTTTTTTCTTTTTTGGGGTTTTTTTTCTTGTTGGTTGGTTTTGCCATTTTTCCCCCCCTTTTTTTTGGTCCTACACCTTGTGGACCCTTAGCTCTCCTGCAGTGCTCTTCTTTCTTGGCCTTTGACTGACTCCACTACTACTACTACCACCTTCTCTTGTCCCGTCCCTGTCAGCTGGCCTATATATACTGTCGTCTTTTCTTCTTTCTGTTAGTGTGACTTTGTAAATGGTCCAAGTCAGACCAAAACATTAGTTATGAGCTCCTCTCTCCTATTTACAAGTTATTTGTGTGTTGTTCCAGTCCCGGTATTGTGCCTTTTTGTTCTTTATGATCCCCAGTGGAAATAAGGCAGATAGACTTTGATGATGCACTAACTTTTTTGGGTTATCCTGAATGGCTAACCCTCTGGGTTGAAAATCTGAACAAATCTTTTCTTAAAGTAATATGCAAATTAATTGGGACAGGAGTAAATTTTGTGATTATATCATAACATGTCTTAGTCTCTGGCTTAATTAATGTAGTTTTTTTTTTTCAGTAGAGTTTGCTACTGATTTCTGGCAACCATCCAGCTCTGGTGTAACCCTATGACTCATCAGTGCTACAACAGCTGTTGTTTTGTAAGGCTGTTCCTGCAAATGTGTTTTGTGAGTGAATGTGGTTTTGCCAAATTCTCCCCTTCACTTCATGATTACTGCTGAAATTCATGATGGATGTTACACCTAGGAAGTGTGCAAGTATTGTAGCACTTAAAAACATGCCGATTTGAGTATCAGACAGATTGCTGAAAATTTGAGCCTAGCAAAGTCAGCTCTTGGTCAGATTCTGATGAAAACTGACAACACTGGTGATTGTGGAGCCCTGCGTCAAGGAAAATTTGGAAGAAAACGCAAGATAACATCACGATGACAAAATTATCATAAGAAATAGTGGGAAGAATCCCAAGAAAACCAGCACAGATCTACAAATATATTTGGCTCCAGCTGACATAAATGTTGATTCTTCAACTGATAAACGTAGGCTCCTTGAAGTTGGCAGAACTGCCAGAAAACCTGTGAAGAAACACTTATTGATTGCTGCTATGAAGAAAAAACGGCTACAGTGGACACTCAATCATAAGGGATGGATGACAAAAAAATGGAGAAAAGTTATATTTTCAGCTGTGGCACATTTTGAAGTACATGGGTACAGATCAGAGGTAGTGAGATGGAGCAAAGCCGAACCTCTTCAGCATGGATACATTCAACAAGCGCCAGAACACCCACCTAAGGTGTTTTGGGGAGTTTTACTGTTAAAGGCACTAGATGGCTTGATATTGTTGAGGGAGCAGTGAACAGTGACAAATTTAAGGCAATCCTGGCAAATTATTTGCTTCCCATTGTGGATAGAGCCTTTCCTGATGGAGAAGGCATTTGCAGCAGGATTTGCTCCATGCCACACTTCTAAAAAAAATGCTGACATTCTTCAAAAAGAGTGGGCTAAGCATTCTCAGTTGCCCTGGAAACTCCCCAGACCACAACCCAATTTAGAATCTTTGGGCAGTAACCAAACAGGATCACGAAACAGGACTGTTCAAGACTGTGAAGAAACTAATTGCTGCTGTTATTAGGACCTGGTACTATGACAAAGAAGTTGCCAAAATGTGTTCAACATTTTTCAGTTCTATGTCTTATAAAAGCAAAGGGTACTCATATCTCTTATTATCTGTCATATCATTGCCATGTATTTTTCAAACAAACATATATTTTCCAAATGTCTTATTTCATCATCGTGCTAAAGAGGTAACATCATGAAACATCACGAATTGGAAAGTAGCAGGTAGCTTTATAGCTTGAATACCTGCAAGTCATGCTCAGCTTTGGTCATGTGCCAGAGATAATGACACAGGCATTGTAAGCTTGCACGGAGACTAAGAAAGCCAGTGAATCCATTGCGAATGACATGAACTGTTGCTAAAGTTCAGTGATGTTGACTTACTGTTAAGAATATTGTTGTTCCATATGTTTGTAATGTCAGTGGTTCCATACAAGATTGCAGTATTGTACTGTAATTTCAAAATATACTTAAATGGTTTTGCATAAATCGACATCCAGTTGTGAGGAATGTTTATAGTAAAGCAGGCAAGTTTTCAGTGAAGTGCATCCACAATATCATAGTGAAGTATAATTTACAGAGTTTGGGCAGAACTCCAAAAATATGATACAGGCTTGATTTTTTTTTTTCCTGAAACTGTGTCAAATCAGGTATCATGGCAGTAAAGATTTAGAGGTAATTATATGTTTTTTTTTATTGATTTGTTATGCTACTTTACCACAGTACAGTAGTACCTCGAGTTACGAACTTAATTCATTCCAGAAGGCTGTTTGAGTGCCATTACTGAACGAATTTGTTCCCATGAGGAATAATGTAAATTAGATTAGTCCATTTTAGACTCCCAAAAATACACTTACACAAGCACTTGCAAAAATATACTTATATAAAGTATGAGTTGAGAGCTGTTCGAAACTCCAGGTACCACTGTATGTACTTCAGTTTTATGGAAATAAAGGAGCACATCTCTTGATTATGGATCAACCTCTATCCCTCTGTTGAGAGTTTGTATTAATCATGACATTACACTAGCAACTTGATAAATTGCTTTTAGAACATAAGAGCATAAGAACGAAGGAACACTGCAGCAGGCCTACTGACCCATGCGAGGCAGGTCCAAGTCTCCTACCGGCTTAAGCCAATGCACCCAACCTAGTCAGGTCAAGGTCACATTGACTTAAGGGAGGAACACGGCAACCGTCCTGGTAGCACAAGCTAATCAGGTCCAACTCACACCCACCCACACCCACTTATGTATATATCCAACCTATTTTTAAAGCTACACAACGTTCTGGCCTCTATAACTGTACTTGGGAGTTTGTTCCACTCATCCACAACTCTATTACCAAACCAGTACTTTCCTATATCCTTCCTGAATCTGAATTTTTCTAACTTAAAACCATTGCTGCGAGTCCTGTCTAGGCTAGATATTTTCAGCAAACATATTTAATAATATCAGGCACCAAGCAGTTTGTATAATACAATTTTGGAGAAGTAAATAAAATGAATTTGTTTGCTTTTAATGGCTATGCTTCACTTTCCTTGGTACAGTATTGTAAAGCTTTAAAATGGATTTGATAGTCACTGACAGTATGCTGGTGTACCAAATCAGGTATGGGAAACCCATGTATAGCTTCTTGAGGTCTCAGTAGCTGAAGACCGGTCTATGCTCCATATAATCACACATTCAGTTAATGACTAGAGCCAATAGGACCTAATTTGGAAATAGAATCATTGATCAGTCACAGCTGTGCTTTTTAAAATCATATATTTTGGTTTCTGTTCTAGGGAAGTGATGCAGCGTACTATACAGAAACAAGAATAGCCTTTCTGGATATCAAATAGCACAACTCCCAGCCATGGCTAGTCCAACAATTGAATCACTTTGTTGTCTGTCTACCAAAAATGCATTCAGCAAAGATTTTCTTGCTGATTTCCAGTCAGTGCCATATAATCTTGTCTCCATTATTGCATCAGTACTTGGCATAGCTGGTGCAATCTATCAGGTAAATAATCCTTTCTATTTTGCAGTTTTATTGATAATAATAGATTGATAATGCTGTTTAATGTTTGCAGCATACTTGCATGTGTCATCTATGATTCAAAACTATGAAACTTCATGAGTGAGAGAAGAATGTGCATTTTATGAGTGTTACTTGAATAAGATATATTTGATAACCTTGTCTGTCAGTCTCTTTCTATGTATTTTACCGGAGTTGAAGAGACATTTATTACTATGCTATCCAGAATGAGAGAAATATTAAAGTTGATGAATAATAATGGTTTGCACTCCTTAAAAAATATTATCTTGAAGAAAAAATTAATTTAATTTGATCAAAGCTTTTTAAGTCCAGCCTTTTTAATATCAGAAATAGACTCAAAATATTATCATATTTCAGTTAGCGCATTTGGAATTTTTTTCTTCGTTGTGATATACTACTCTGTTCTAATACGAAACAAATCATATTAACTAAAAAAATAAGGCTTGTCTCTTATTACATACCGTATTTTTGTATATACAGTATATTGAAGAGGGAGGAATTGTGTGGGGAACAAATTGCCAAATTGCTGGACATGTGCCACGCGTTGAAGGAAATGAAACCCAGAACTCGTAGAGCCTACATGATTGTGATAGGCCAGTGTTGTCACAGATCATATTTTACACTACTTAAAATATTTGTTGATGTACCTATATTAGTATAAGTGGAAACAGAAATTTGCAGTATCATCAGCATGGTCATCACTAATCCCGCAATCAGTTATCCGGTTCCATTAGTAAATTCACAGCAGCAAGCCAGAGGAGGAGAAAGCAGTGATGAAAATGAGGAAGTGTAGCAGAAAGAGTCTCTACTGATAGGTTAATTAAGTGTATTCTAACCTAACCACTCTGTGATCTGGCAAACTCACTAATCCGGCACACTACAGGTTCCAATGATGCCAGATTAGTGATGGCTGACCTGTAATATAAAGAGGAAGGAATTGTGAAGGCAAATTTCCAATTCACTTCATGTGGTGAAAGACCATGCAATTCCTCTTTATATTATTGCATTCAAGATAATGGGAAATTTAAAATTATGTGAACAAGAATATAGGTACAGTATACATATATGAATTAACACGTGTGGTCAACACTGGGGTCCATCGCAATCCTCAAAATTTTGAAAATCAGTAACACACAAATAGCATGCTTGCCCAATATCCAGTGAGTCGTCAGTTTATTCCCACATTATTATTCTTTCTTCAGAAGTGTTAAATTCATGAGTGTGAAATTTTAGTTTCTCTTAGTTTTAAATGCTGTACCTCAAACAATTTTAAAGGAATAATAGTTTTGCAATTTATGTAAAAGCCTAAATCATATGAGCTTAATGATACATCACTTTACTAGTCAAATTTTAATGTGTACAACAGGCTTACCCATTCCTTACATCTCCAAGGTGCTACCACAGACACCAGGCACTGGAGCTCTCAATGGAGGTCGTAGATTCTTCAGGACTCGAGGTCGTCTCATCATCAGATGGCTAGCTATGGCTGATTTAATGGCATCCTTTAGTAAGTTTTCCTTTAAGAACTGATATGAAAGCCTCAATAAATGAGGCAATAATTTGTAATATATTGTACAAGCAAACCTTGCTCCTCCTCTGAAGTAATTTCCAAGATCCTAGAATAATAGCAACAGTGCATTCAATGGAGTTTATTGAACCAATGAATAGGAATGTTTCCAGAAGAAAAATGCATCATGAAATTTTGTGGCTGATAATTTTCTTACATAAAAGATAGTTCCTGCAGGTATAATATTTCTGTATGTTTATACAGTGAACCAGTAATTTTGAACACAGATTAGCTTTCCAAATTCTGTATGATGTTATGACAATGAAATTTTGGGGCAGCAGCAGACCTTCAGCAGCAAGCACCAGACGAGCCTGGCCTATGGCCGGGCTCCGAGAGTAGTGAAACTCTTCAAAGGCATAAGGTAAAGGTGTTGGGAGTGCAGTAGGACTGCCACTTTGATGACTAAGATGGGGTAGTACTCCAGGTGTTTAGCACTGTGTAAGTTGTTGAGGGTCATAGAGAAAAACATCCACCTGTATATCTAAGGACGAAAACAAGGTAGGTAGGTGCTTGTTAGGTAGCTGCTGGTGTATGGGCTCTTCCATTGATTTTGAAGAGAAAAATTATGTGCATGCTCGTAAAGTTTTAATTCTTATATCCTTATGTACTGTGGCTCCTTGTACTATTGCAGAAGGGCTCTCAGCTCCTTGAACATGTGTACAGCTAAATGCATGATCAGTTTCAATAACTTTCTGTAAAGACAGCTAATTCAGAACAGGCAGGTCTCATTTCACCCTCTTGATAATGTGGCTTGGTCTTCCTCAAGCCCCATTAGTAGCTCATTTGAAACATCTTCATCCTTCCCAATATCTCCTCACCTTCTTCCTTATCAGTGTCTTCTGTCCAAATTTTAATTCTTGTAAATTACTTATGTTTTCAGTTATCAATAGAATTTATTCATAATTCACAGAAATATGCACATTCCTAGCAATGGAGCGTTATGAATTACTGCAGCATGGAAGGTCCAGAAACAGTTACACATTTCAAATATAATGAATACAGTAAAGCCATGTGTGTCGTAAGAGGCGACTAGCATGATGGGAGCAAGGGCTAGTAACCCCTTGTTTATTCATTACTAAATTTAAAAAGAGAAACTTTCGTTTTTCTTTTTAGGTCACCCTGCCTCGGTGGGATGTGGCCGGTTTGATAAAAAAGAAGAGAGAATACATTAAAACCTTGATTTAATGGACAGAATCCATTATGCAGACAAAGTCCATTATTGTTGCAGTCTGCTGGGTAAATTGATTTTGGATTTAATAGCCAAAGTCCATTGTTTCCGGAATTCTTTGTTATTGTTACAGTCTGCTGGGGAGATTGATTTAACCATAGCATACCTTGAAATTAAATTTCCTGTGTGTGTGGGGAAAAGATTTAAAAAAATCATTAAAGATTGAAAGAGGGCATTTTTTATGTATCAAATAAGACTAAAATGAGTGAAATCTGATAAAACTAAGGATTTTATGGTTTGTTGAAGTTGAAAAAATATCACTTGGCAACTGATGTAAATGTGCCAGTGATATTCACGTTTTATGATTTATTGACATCAAATTATGACTGGTTTTCAGTTTTTATTGTTTTTAATGTTTAGTACTCAAAACTACCGAAGGAATTCATTGATGAAAACTTGTGTAGAAGTTCCATTGATAATTAACTGGCATTCTGTATTTTGTCTGTAATCACTAGATGATACTTTGCTTACTACCCAGCATTATTATGATGGCAAAGAATGGGTACAGCAAATGCATCTGTCAAATCTTTGTTCAGTAATGGCAAAATATTTTAAATTTATTAAAGCACTTGCAAAGAGAAATGTCATAAATGAATTTGGAGATAATTGAAAAAATTCAGGTTGGCACCTGAGGAAGAAGTTGTTATCCTTGGGGTGAAATTTGACTCCAAACTGACCATGAAGAACCACATTGTAAATCTTGCAAACAAGTCGGCCAGGAAGCTTACAGCACTTTGCCATATCTCGCATCTGCTCAACAGTAGGGGTTGCAAGATTCTGTACAAGGTACAAGTACGCTCACACCTTGAGTATGCTCCACTTTCTTGGTTTGCCTGCCCCCCCTCCCCTCATCTGTGACTGCTTGACAGAGTAGATAACAGAGGAAGATGTCTCATCTCTCACCTGGACTAATCCTGGATAGATCTGTCATTTCAGCAGCGCCTTCAACACAGGAGGGATGTGGGTGGCCTTACTGTTATGTACAAGGCCAATTTTGTCAAAGTACCACACTTGGATCCACTTTGAGGACAGCGTAAGCAAGCTTCTATACCACAAGACGGGCAGAAAGCAGCAACTTCACTCTGGCTGTACCCTTCTCCAGAACATCACTTAATCTGAGATCATTTATCCCCAGGATGACTTGAGTATGGAACACATTCGTACAGCATTATGATGTCAACGGGATAAAGTCAGTTGATCAGATGAAAATGCTGGCCCACAGGTTGCTCCAACTTCACCGTTCCCCACTTGTATGTCTCATAACAATAAAAATGCTTTCAAATGAGCTGATGTAGGTAACAGCTCTTAGCTTGTCAATAAAGTTAGGAATCCTTAACCTGTAAATAGCTTGTCAATAAAGCTAGGGATCCTTAACCTAACCTTGTCAAACCCTGTGAAAAAAAAAAAACCTGATTAAATGTTTTGATCCTTGAAGGCTGAAGTGGCTGTGGCAAGAATTGTGATATTCTTTTTTTTTTTTTTTTTTTTCTCTCCCCCCCCAAGTTTTATATTACTTTTGTCTTCTGTAGGCATCCTCATCCGGTCAGCTTCTTGGCTTGCTGATGATACTTTTGGCTCGGACCCTGATGACAGTCCCCTTGGACAGTGTGTGTGCATAATAACTTCAGTAAGTGCAACAATTTTGCTTTTACACATACTGTAGTTAATCTTTACAAGCTAATCACTCTTGACTTGCCACAGTTTTATTTTTAAATCTGATTTTTTGTACTGTTTTGTAGTACAGTTGGGCTTGTGCATTATTATCTGAATAATAGGTTGAGCCCCTGGGTTTGTTTTTTCCCCCTCAATCCACTTGTACCTTTTCCCTCAATCCACATATAACTTTTTCATCTGATTTAGCTGTAGTGATTTTATTGACTTTATCTAAGAAAGTGACTATCTGTATTACAGTGCATGAGCTTCTATTTTTTTCATTGTTTCTAATTGTATGAAGGACTTATTCATCTACACTAAAACTTGTGGATAGTTTCCATTACATCTTACACTTCCACTGTCTTCAGCATTACCATAAATTCCTGCTGATTCTTCTTCTTAGCACCTTCATCATCACTAATATAGTATTCCTCTTGGGTACCAAGTTAATTTGCAGAGACCAAATGGAGTGATGAAACTGTCCAAAATACCTCATTAATTGAACACAGAGTGAGGGAAACACACTGTGCTTCAGAATACAACTGTAGGTGGCATAGATTGTCACTGGTAGGGAAGGAGTTGTATACTATGTGTAAATTACTCTCACTTTGCTTGTAATTTAATGCTATGGTATGTTGTACAAGTTGTATCAAAATGTCCCTTAGCTTGGTTGGAAGCACACTCAATTCACATATTGAGGTCCGTGGTTTGATCCCTGATACAGGTGGAAACATTAGGATTTTTTCCTTAAGACATCTGCTGCCCCTGTTCACCTAGTAGTAAACAGGTACTGGGTGTTAGCCAACTAGTGTGGGTTGCATCCTAGGGACAAAATTAACCTAATTTGCCAGAAATGCTCTGCATAACAAGGGGCTTCTGTATAGTATGTCAGCTAGGTTTGAATACGTTGTGCATGTACTTGTAGAAATAGATTTTTATTTCTTCAACAAGCCGGCCACATTCCACCGAAGCAGGGTGGCCCAAAAGGAAAAATGAAAGTTTCTCCTTTTAAATTTAGTAATATATACAGGGGAAGGAGTTACTAGCCGCTTGCTCCCAGCATTTTAGTCATCTCTTATGACACGCATGGCTTGTGGAGGAAGAATTCTGTTCCACTTCCCCATGGAGATAAGAGGAAATAAACAAGAATGAGAACTAGTAAGAAAATAGAAGAAAACTCAGAGGAATATGTATACAGTATATATATGTTTGTACATGCATATGTAATGTGACCTAAGTGTAAGTAAAAGTAGCAAGATTTACCCGAAACCTTGCATGTTTGAGACAGAAAAAAGACGCCAGCAATCCTACCATCATGTAAAACAGTTACAGGCTTCCGTTTTACACTAGCTTGGCAGGACGGTAGTACCTCCCTGGGTGGTTGCTGTCTACCAGCCTACTACATAGGATTATTATTATTAGTAGTAGTAGTAGTTGTAGTAGTAGTATTCCACATGTTAGCTGTACATTATCATCAAATTTTTTGGTTGGACTTTTTGAGGTTGCATGGTAAGAGAGTTTACTGTACTAGTTGCTTAAATATTTGATAACATTTTTTTTCTTTTTTTCAGGTAAACGGAATGTTTAGGCAAGATTTTCACGAAAGCCACTAATTCACATAGGCGTAGTCTTAAAGGGTAGAATGTATCAGAGATGTAGATAGGTAATTTGTTTTTATTATTTAATTAGGTATTTCCAATATATGAGAACATTCATTTCTTCCATACTCCCTCCAGCGTTATATCCAATTTTTCTTTATTTAAATTGTTTGATACCCTCACCACCTTACTCATAACTATGTTCACTTTGAAGCATCTACCTTTACACACCCTCCCAAACTCGTCCACTAACCTTTGCAACTTTTCTTTAGAATTCCCCAAAAGCATGGTATCATCAACAAAAAGTAACTGTGTCAACTCCCATTTTGTATTTGATTCCCCATAATTTAATCCCACCCCTCTCCCCAACAACCTAGCATTTACTCGAATTGACTTTTCAGCGACTGATTTATGAAGGATAAGGTTAACCATAGAACTGATGAAGAAAAAAAAGGTGAGTGGTGCATTGAGGTATCTATGGAGACAAAGAACATTATCCATGGAGGCAAAGAAGAGTATGTATGAGAGCATAGTGGTACCAACACTCATATAAGCATGAAGCATGGGTTGTAAATTCTGCAGTGAGAAGGCAGCTGGAAACAGTGGAGATGTCGTTTCTAAGGGCAATGTACGGTGTAAATATTATGCAGAGAATTCGTATTGTGGAAATTAGGAGGAGGTGCAGAGTTACTAAAAGTATTAGTCAGAGGGCTGAAGAGGGGCTGTCGAGTGAGGTGGTTTGCTCATTTAAAGAGAATGGAACAAAGTAGAATGACTTGGAAAGCATATAAATCTGTAGGGGAAGGAAGGCGAAGTAGGGATCATCCCTGAAAAAGTTGGAGGGAGGGGGTAAAGAAGGTTTTGTGGGCAAGGGGCTTGGACTTCCAGCAAGCGTGCATGAGCATGTTAGGAGTGAATGGAGACAAATAGTTTTTGGGACCTGACGAGCTGTCGAAGTGTGAGCAGGGCAATATTTTGTGAAGGGATTCAGGGAAACCGGTTAGCTGGAATTGAGTCCTGGAAACGGAAAGTACAATGCCTGCACTTTAAAGGAGGAGTTTGGGATATTGGCAATTTGGAGGGACATCTAAGCTGTCATAACTGAGCGCCTCTGCAAAGACAGTGATTGTGTATGAGTGATGGTGAAAGTGTTGAATGATGATGAAAAATTTTTTCTTTCTTTTTGGGTCACCCTGCCTCGGTGGGAAACGGCCGACTTGTTAAAAAAAAAAAAAGGAACATGCAAGTGTAGTGATTGCTGGTGTCTTTTTTTTCTGTCTCATAAACATGCAAGATTTCAGATACATCTTGCTACTTCTACTTGCACTTAGGTCACACTACACTTGCATGTTTTCTTTTTTTTAACATGTCGGCCATTACCCACCGAGGCAGTGTGACCCAAAAAGAAAAAAAAAACTTTCGTAATCATTCAACACTTACGCCATCACTCATACACAATCACTGTCTTTGCAGAGATGCTCAAATGCGACAGCTTAGATGTCCCTCCAAACTGCCAATATCTCAAACCTCTCCTTTAAAGAGCAGGCATTGTACTTCCCATTTCCAGGACTCAAATCTGGCTAACCAGTTTCCCTGAATCCTTTCATAAAATATTACCCTGCTCTCACTCCAACAGCTTGTCAGGTCCCAAAAACCATTCATCTCCATTCACTCCTATCTAACATGCTCATGCACACTTGCTGGAACTCCAATCCCCTTGCCCACAAAACCTCCTTTACCCCATCCCTCCAACCTTTTTGGGGATGACCCCTACCCTGCCTTCCTTCCCCAACAGATTTACATATATGCTCTCCAAGTCATTTCTACTTTGTTCCATTCTCTCTAAATAACCAAATCGCTTCAACAGCCCCTCTTCAGCCTCTGACTCATACTTTTAGTAACTTCATACCTTCTCCTAATTTCAACACTACAGATTCTCTGCATAATGTTTACACCACACATTGCACTTAGGACATCTCCATTGCCTCCAGCCACCTTTTCACTGCAGCATTTACAACCCATGCTTCACACCTGTATAAGAGTGTTGGTACCACTATACTCTCATACATTCCCTTCTTTACCTCCATGGATACCGTTCTTTGTCTTCACAGATACCTCAATGCACCACTCACCTTTTTTTCCTTCATCAATTCTATGGTTAACCTCATCCTTCATAAACCCATCCACTGACAATTCAATTCCCTAATATCTGAAAACATTCACTTCTTCTTCCATACTTCCTCCCTCCAATGTGATATCCAATTTTATCTTGATAGTTCTTGTTCTTATTACTTTTCCTATCATATCCATGGGGAAGTGGAATAAAAATCTTTCCTCCGTAAGCTGTGTGTATTGTAAAAGTCAACTAAAATGCCGGGAGCAATGGGCTAGTAACCCCTTTTCCCGTATAGCCTACTAAAAGAAAAATAAAACTTGCATGTACAAGCATGTCGTAAGAGGCGACTAAAATACTGGAAGCAAGGGACTGGTAACCCATTCTCCTGTATATATTACTAAATTTAAAAGGAGAAACTTTCGTTTTTCCTTTTGGGCCACCCTGCTTCAGTGGGGTACGGCCAGTTTTTTGAAGGAAGAAGAAAGATTATTATTATTATTATTATTATTATTATTATTATTATTATTATTATTATTATTATTACTACTATATTGTCAAGACTAGAGGGACACTCTTAGTGATTTTAATGTGTACCTGCATGCCAGCACAGTGTGTAAGTTTATTTAGGTACAGGTACACATAAGTATAATTATTAGAGCACATATAAAATACACAATAACTTTACAACACTTGAAATTTTGGAAAGTTTGCAAACATAATGGAAAGATGTACTCACAGAGGATGTAAACAAACCAGGTGGCATGCAGTGACTGTATTAAACCCGGTGGGGGAGCTGTAGTGAGAGTTTTGGTCAAAATTCAAAATGTCTGTATTAGCAAAATACCATAAAGCAGGGCCCTACTGTACATGCTAGCATCTTCCAGCACTCGCATCTGCCATAAATTCTTATCCTCTAACACTTGCCCACATCCTCCAACACTCACCCACATCCTCCAACACTCACCCACATTTTTCAACACACCCACGTCCTCCAACACTCGCCCACATTTTTCAACACACCCATATTCTTCATCACTCACCCACATCCTCCAACACTCACCCACATCCTCCAATACTCGCACACATACTTCAACACTCTCTCATATTTTCCAACATTCACATTCCAACTGTTGGCTACTTCCATCTTGGTATTCTTGCTGTTTTTCACTCCTGCAGTTCTTTGACTGCTGTATGTATTGAAATACAGTCCATCAATATTTATGTCTGTTCAGAGTTTATTCTTTGTCTCTAATGTACTGTACATGCCAGTTTAATGTTGACTGTTGGCCTTATTTAATTTTTTTTTTTTTTTTTCCAACAAGTCGGCCGTCTCCCACCAAGGCAGGGTGACCCAAAAAAGAAAGAAAATCCCTAAAAAGAAAATACTTTCATCATCATTCAACACTTTCACCACACTCACACATTATCACTGTTTTTGCAGAGGTGCTCAGAATACAACAGTTTAGAAGCATACACATATAAAGATACACAACATATCCCTCCAAACTGCCAATATCCCAAACCCCTCCTTTAAAGTGCAGGCATTGTACTTCCCATTTCCAGGACTCAAGTCCGACTATATGAAAATAACCGGTTTCCCTGAATCCCTTCACTAAATATTACCCTGCTCACACTCCAACAGATTGTCAGGTCCCAAGTACCATTCGTCTCCATTCACTCCTATCTAACACGCTCATGCACGCTTGCTGAACGTCCAAGCCCCTCGCCCACAAAACCTCCTTTACCCCCTCTCTCCAACCCTTTCGAGGACGACCCCTACCCCGCCTTCCTTCCCCTATAGATTTATATGCTTTCCATGTCATTCTACTTTGATCCATTCTCTCTAAATGACCAAACCACCTCAACAACCCCTCTTCTGCCCTCTGACTAATACTTTTATTACTCCACATCTTCTCCTAATTTCCACACTCTGAATTTTCTGCATAATATTTACACCACACATTGCCCTTAGACAGGATATCTCCACTGCCTCCAACCATCTCCTCGCTGCTGCATTTACCACCCAAGCTTCACACCCATATAAGAGTGTCGGTACCACTATACTTTCATACATTCCCTTCTTTGCCTCCATAGATAACTTTTTTTGACTCCACATATACCTCAACGCACCACTAACCTTTTTTCCCTCATCAATTCTATGATTAACCTCATCCTTCATAAATCCATCCGCCGACACGTCAACTCCCAAGTATCCGAAAACATTCACTTCTTCCATACTCCTCCTCCCCAATTTGATATCCAATTTTTCTTTATCTAAATCATTTGATACCCTCATCACCTTACTCTTTTCTATGTTCACTTTCAACTTTCTACCTTTACACACATTCCCAAACTCATCCACTAACCTTTGCAATTTTTCTTTAGAATCTCCCATAAGCACAGTATCATCAGCAAAAAGTAACTGTGTCAATTCCCATTTTGAATTTGATTCCCCAAAATTTAATCCCACCCCTCTCCCAAACACCCTAGCCTTTACTTCCTTTACAACCCCATCTATAAATATATTAAACAACCATGGTGACATTACACATCCCTGTCTAAGATCTACTTTTACCGGGAAGTAGTCTCCCTCTCTTCTACACACCCTAACCTGAGCCTCATTATCCTCATAAAAACTCTTTACAGCATTTAATAACTTACCACCTATTCCATATACTTGCAACATCTGCCACATTGCTCCTCTATCCACTCTATCATATGCCTTTTCTAAATCCATAAATGCAATAAAAACTTCCCTACCTTTATCTAAATACTGTTCACATATATGCTTCAATGTAAACACTTGATCTACACATCCCCTACCCACTCTGAAACCTCCTTGCTCATCCGCAATCCTACATTCTGTCTTACCTCTAATTCTTTCAATTATAACCCTACCATACACTTTTCCTGGTATACTCAGTAAACTTATTCCTCTATAATTTTTACAGTCTCTTTTGTCCCCTTTCCCTTTATATAAAGGGACTATACATGCTCTCCGCCAATCCCTAGGTACCTTCCCCTCTTTCATACATTTATTAAACAAAAGTACCAACCACTCCAACACTATATCCCCCCTTGCTTTTAACATTTCTGTCATGATCCCATCAGTTCCAGCTGCTTTACCCCCTTTCATTCTACGTAATGCCTCACGTACCTCCCCCACACTTACATTCTGCTCTTCTTCACTCCTAAAAGATGGTATACCTCCCTGACCAGTGCATGAAATTACTGCCTCTCTTTCTTCCTTAACATTTAAAAGTTCCTCAAAATATTCTCGCCATCTACCTAATACCTCCCTCTTCCCATCTACTAACTCCCCTACTCTGTTTTTAACTGACAAATCCATACTTTCCCTAGTCTTTCTTAACTTGTTTAACTCACTCCAAAATTTTTTCTTATTTTCATTAAAATTTCTTGACAGTGCCTCTCCCACTCTATCACCTGATCTAATCAAGTGAGTGTAAAACGAAAGCCTGTAATTGTTTTACATGATGGTAGGATTGCTGGTGTCCTTTTTTCTGTCTCATGAACATGCAAGACTTCAGGTACGTCTTGCTAATTCTACTTACACTTAGGTCACACTACACATACATGTACAAGCACATATATACACACCCCTCTGGGTTTTCTTCTATTTTCTTTCTAGTTCTTATTCTTGTTTATTTCCTCTTATCTCCATGGGGAAGTGGAACAGAATTCTTCCTCCATAAGCTATGTGTGTTGTAAGAGGCGACTAAAATGCCGGGAGCAAGGGGCTAGTAACTTCTTCTCCTGTATATACTATTGCTAAATGTAAAAGGAGAAACTTTTGTTTTTCCTTTTGGGCCACCCCACCTCGGTGGGATACGGCCGGTGTGTTGAAAGAAAAGAATAGCTAATAATGGTACTTTAATCCTTTGACTGTCGAGGTCATATATATACGTCTTACGAGGTACCATGTTTGACGTATACTCATAAATTCTAGCGGCTTCAAATCAAGCAGGAGAAAGCTGGTAGGCCCACATATGAGAGAATGGGTCTGTGTGGTCAGTGCGCACCATATAAAAAAAATTCTGGAGCACGCAGTGCATAATGAGAAAAAAAACTCCGACCATTTTTTTTAATTAAAATGCCGACTTTGTGGTCTATTTTCGTATAGTATTTATGGTTGTATTCTCGTTTTCTTGGTCTCATTTGATAGAATGGAAAACATATTATAGAAATAGAGGTGATTTTGATTGATTTTACTATAAAAAGAACCTGGAAATGGAGCTCAAAGTAGGGGAAATGTTTGATTTTTGCCCATGTTCAAAAGTAAACAAATGATGTCTTTGTCCAATAAATGTCCATCTAGCCAATCTAATATGCAGTCATGAATGGGTTGATGTTATTTATACAATTATTACAGTAGTCTGCATAACAGTAAATATTCTATTTTTTGTTTGAATAAAAATTAAAAATAGAAAGCAAGAGTAATATCAGAGGGGCCTGGAGACATGACTGATGAACAAAGAAAATGTTATTTTAGAGTCGGGAATGTCTGCATTGTTCATTCTGGACCTTATTTTGAAATTGTCATAATTTTTAATTTTTGTGAAATTGGTGAAATTGCAAATTTCTGACCACGTTATTGGGTAGTTGAAATCGGTAAATGGGCAGTTTCTTGTACTCAATCGATAGAAAAAATGGAGTTCTAAAGAAATAGCTATGAGTTTGATCGACTTGAACAATGGAAGTAGCCGAAAATAGGGCTCAAAGTGGGCGAAATCGCTGATTTGTAAATATTGCCGAGATCGCTAAGTTCGCGAGAGCATAATTCCGTGAGTTTTCCATCAGATTTCGTGTTTTTGGTGTCATTACAATCTCGATCATTTCATAAGCTTTTTTTTTTTTTTTTTTTTTTTTTTTTTTTTTTTTTTTTTTTTTTTTTTTTTTTTTTTTTTTTTTTTTGAAATTTTGCGACACCAGGAGACACTTCAGGATTGGGGGTTGCAACAGTGAAGGGATTAAACACACATGTCCATACTTGTGCTTTTTCTTTTTTTTTGTGGTATCAGACACTACCGTATGTATTGATTTAGATGCTTGCAGCATCTAAATCAACACATACGGTATTATATTTACATACTTTCTTGGGTAACTTGTAAAAATAATCGGAAATTCTTTTCGGTGGCATTTTTAAATGTGTGTATTCGTTTTTTTTTTTTTTTTTTTTTTTTTTTTTTTTTGGGTGGGGGGGGTTGTCTAAAACTTTATTTTGCTTGATTTGATGTTCTTTGCAAAATATGTAAGAATCTTTTACCTACTAGCTTAAGTATTGAAGTTTTATGCAAGTTATTTAATATATCATCAACAAAGTTGTACGTATATCCAAAATTAATAAATTGTAATGTTTACCTTTTTAAATTTCCCAACATATTTTACAGTTCTTGGGATGCTTTTGATAATTTGGAATGGGATGAATAAATATTTCACTTACAAGCCAATTTTAATTTCCCATTATTGTTTCAGGCAATGATTCACTACTTCTACACTGCTACATACTGCTGGACCTTCTTGTATGCACTAGATGTTAAACTGGTGATGCAGGATAAGCGGATAAATCAACGTATTTATCACCTAGTATCTTGGACTGTTCCTCTTGTGTTATGTTTAATTGGTCTTCTTATCCTGTACCTTCCAGACCTAAAGTAAGTTTACATAAGAAAAGACACTTCCTGAGCTAATGTATTCTTGTACAGAATTTAAATTTACTAATTTATACAAATCCACATGGAGATAAAACAGAATTAGGAGCAGTATGATACAGTATCTCAGGAATAGGATTATTTTGTTGATAATAATAGAGTAGTATTAGGACTAATAACAATTTATTTCTTTTGACTTAAGCTAATAAATATAATCAGTAAATGGGTTAAACTGAAATATACTGTATTTCATTTATCTTTATTTTTAGCTGCCATAGTACGAATGTGAACCCATATATTCGGTTCCTCCCCAACTACTTGAGTACATTCATCCCCATCGTGGTTGTCATGATAGGCAACCCAGTATTCTACTGCTTGGTATTTTCCAGAGTGGAAAAGCAAATTATGTCAGCAAGAGGCAGGTTAGTTTATTTTCTTATTTTAATTGTACTTTCTTTTTTTAACCTCAATGGTCATCTCCCACCAAGACAATGCAACTCAAAGAAGAAAATACACTCACCATCATTTATTCAGTCATCATGCCAGAAGTTTGCTGATATCACAATTCGGATTACCCTACAACTGCAAGATCCCCACCTTTCGTTCAGAGTGCATGAACTCCCTTACCCTTCCAGGACTGAAATCCAGCTATCAGTTTCCCTGAATCCCTTCATAAAGGTTACCTTGCTCACACTCAGCTACCACATCCATTAACCCTTTCAGGGGTTATAAGTGTTTGTATCACTATACTCTGGTTCATTTTTCTTTCCCCATCAATAAATAAACTTCTTTCCACGGATGCTTGAACATGCCACCCACCTTTTTTCCTTCATCTATTCTATGGTTTACCTTATCTTTCATAGACGCATCTGCTGACATGTCCACTCCCAAATATCTAAATACAGTGGAAACTCTGTATTTTTTTTTTATTAACACACTGGCCGATTCCCACCAAGGCAGGGTGGCCCGAAAAAGAAAAACTTTCACCATCATTCACTCCATCACTGTCTTGCCAGAAGGGTGCTTTACACTACAGTTTTTAAACTACAACATTAACACCCCTCCTTCAGAGTGCAGGCACTGTACTTCCCATCTCCAGGACTCAAGTCCGGCCTGCCGGTTTCCCTGAATCCCTTCATAAATGTTACTTTGCTCACACTCCAACAGCACGTCAAGTATTAAAAACCATTTGTCTCCATTCACTCCTATCAAACACGCTCATGCATGCCTGCTGGAAGTCCAAGCCCCTCGCACACAAAACCTCCTTTACCCCCTCCTCCAACCTTTCCTAGGCCGACCCCTACCCCGCCTTCCTTCCACTACAGACAGATACACTCTTGAAGTCATTCTGTTTCGCTCCATTCTCTCTACATGTCCGAACCACCTCAACAACCCTTCCTCAGTCCTCTGGACAACAGTTTTGGTAATCCCACACCTCCTCCTAACTTCCAAACTACGAATACTCTGCATTATATTCACACCACATATTGCCCTTAGACATGACATCTCCACTGCCTCCAGCCTTCTCCTCGCTGCAACATTCATCACCCATGCTTTACACCCATATAAGAGCATTGGTAAAACTATACTCTCATACATTCCCCTCTTTGCTTCCAAGGACAAAGTTCTTTGTCTCCACAGACTCCTAAGTGCACCGCTCACCCTTTTCACCTCATCAATTCTATGATTCATCTCATCTTTCATAGATCCATCCGCTGACACGTCCACTCCCAAATATCTGTATGCGACCTTAATTCATTCCAGAAGGCTGTTCGAGTGCCCCGCCGTTTAAGTATCGAAAAAGTTCTTCCCAACCAATTTTCTGTTTGGTTGACAGTTATCACTAATTGTCGTAGGCCCCAAAAAATGCGAAGACACATGAAATAGTATACAGCGAAGTTCTGGCAGGCCGTATCTGTTTGATCGAGTGCTGAGCTTCATTCGAGCAGGGGGCTGGTCGTGTACCATTTCCTCTGTACTCTCTACCTCCAATCTAATATTCAGTCTCTTATTACCTACACTTTTGTTACCCTCATGACATTGCTTTTTTCTAAGTTTGTCTTTAATTTCCCATTTTTACATTCCCTTCCCAATTCGTCCACTAGCCTTCATAACTTAGTCTTCAGAATCCCCTAAATGAGCTGTGTCATCAGCAGAGAGTAATCGTTAACCCTCCCCCCTGCTTTGTGTCAGATCCATCATCTTTTATCCCACACTTCTTCCCAAAAACCTAGCATTCACTTCTTTGACAATCCCATCTTTTTTTTTTTTTTTTTTTCCAACAAGTCTGCCATCTCCCACCAAGGCAGAGTGATCCAAAAAGAAAGAAAATCCCCAAAAAAGAAAATACTTTCATTGTCATTCAACACTTTCATCTCACTCACACATAATCACTGTTTTTGCAGAGGTGCTCAGAATACAACAGTTTAGTAGCATATACGTATAAAGATACACAACATATCCCTCCAAACTGCCAATATCCCAAACCCCTCCTTTAAAGTGCAGGCATTGTACTTCCCATTTCCAGTACTCAAGTCTGGCTATATAAAAATAACCGGTTTCCCTGAATCCCTTCACTAAATATTACCCTGCTCACACTCCAACAGCTCGTCAGGTCCCAACAACCATTTATCTCCATTCACTCCCATCTAACATGCTCATGCACACTTGCTTGAAGTCCAAGCCCCTTGTCCACAAAACCTCCTTTACCCCCTCCCTCCAACCTTTTCGAGGATGACCCTTACCCCGCCTTCCTTTCCCTACAGATTTATACGCTCTCCATGTCATTCTACTTTGATCCATTCTCTCTAAATGCCCAAACCATCTCAACAACCCCTCTTCAGCCCTCTGACTAATACTTTTATTAGCTCCACACCTTCTCCTAATTTCCACACTCCGAATTTTCTGCATAGTATTTACACCACACATTGCTGTTAGACAGGACACCTCCACTGCCTCCAACTGCCTCCTCGCTGCAGCATTTACAACTTGACCTTCACACCCATATAAGAGAGTTGGTACCACTATACTTTCATTACATTCCCTTTTTTGCCTCCATAGATAACATTTTTTTTGTCTCCATATGTACCTCAACGAAAGCCTGTAATTGTTTTACATGATGGTAGGATTGCTGGTGTCTTTTGTCTGTCTCATAAATATGCAAGATTAGAGGTATGTCTTGCTACTTCTACTTACACTTAGGTCATACTACACATACGTGTACAAGCATATATATACACACCCCTCTGGGTTTTCTGCTATTTTCTTTCTAGTTCTTGTTCTTGTTTATTTCCTCTTATCTCCATGGGGAAGTGGAACAGAATTCTTCCTCCGTAAACCGTGCATGTTGTAAGAGGCGACTAAAATGCCGGGAACAAGGGGCTAGTAACCCCTTCTCCTGTATATATTACTAAATGTAAAAGGAGAAACTTTCATTTTTCCTTTTGGGCACCCCCGCCTCGGTGGGATATGGCCGGTGTGTTGAAAGAAGAAGAAAGATGCACCTCAACACACCACTCACCTTTTTTCCTTCATCAATTCTATGGTTAACCTCATCCTTCATAAACCTATCCGCTGCCACATCAACTCCCAAGTATCTGATAACATTCACTTGTCCCATACTCCCTCTCTCTAATGTGATATCCAATTTTTCTTTATCTAAATCATTTGATACCCTCATCACCTTACTCTTATCTATGTTCACTTTCAACTTTCTACCTTTACACACCCTCCTAAACTCATCCTCTCACCTTTGCAACTTTTCTTTTGAATGTCCCATCAGCAAAAAGTAACTATGTCAACCCCCATTTTGTATTTGATTCCCAATAATTTAATCCCAACACCCTAGCATTTACCTCTTTTACAACCTCATCTATAAATATATTAAACAACCGCGGTGACATTACACATCCCTGTCTAAGACCTACTTTTACCGGAAGTAATGTCCTTCTCTTCTACACACCCTAACCTGAGCCTCACAATCCTCATAAAAACTCTTAACAGCATTTAGTAACTTACTACCTATTCCATATATGTACGCTTGCAACATTTGCCACATTGCTCCCTTATCCACTCAATCATATGCCTTTTATAAATCCATAAATGCAATGAGAACTTCCCTCTCTTTATCTAAATACTGTTCACATGTATGCTTCAATGTAAACACTTGATCTACACATCCCCTACCCACTCTAAAGCCTCCTTGCTCATCCGAAATCCTACTCTCCATCTTACCTCTAATTCTTTCAATAATAACCCTACCATACGCTTTTCCTGGTATACTCATTAAACTTATTCCCCTGTAATTTTTACAATCTCTTTTGTACCCCCTTCCCTTTATATAAGGGAACTATAGAAGCTCTCTGTCAATCCTTAGGTACCTTCCCCTCTTTCATACATTTATTAAACAAAAAGACCAACCACTCCAACACTATATCTCCCCCTGCTTTTAACATTTCTGTCAACAACCCCATCTATAAATATAAAATGATGATGGTGACATTATACATCCTGTCTTAGTTCTGCTTTCACTGGAAAATAGTCTCCTTTCTTCCTGTATTCCCTAACCTAAACCTCACTGTATGTGAAAAAAAAAAAAACTTTACTGATTTTAGCAACCTACTTCCTATTATATACATCTGCAACATCTGTATTCCTACCCACCCTATCATACACACTTTCTAAGCCCATGAATGTAACAAGTAGCTCTTTACCCTTATTTAAGTAATGCTCACTTACACTTAGTCTGCACATCCCTTTCCCTTCCTAAATCTTCCCTGTTTCTCTGCAATCCTATTTTCTGTTTTACCCCCTTAATTCTTTGAATAATTAGTCAACACCCTTCTTTAACACATACAGTATTGTATTGAACAAATATACTAACCACTCAAAGCTGCTTTGCCGCATTTCATTCTACCTCCTGCTTTGTGCACTTTCCCCACATCCACCTCAGGCTCCTTCTCACTCATATACAATGTTACTCCTTTCCCTGTGCATAAAATTACCATCTCCCCTTCATCACAAATATTCAGCAGCTTAAAAAAAACCAACCATACCACAGGCGAGGATAGAACCCGCGATCAGAGAGTCTCAAAACTCCAGACCGTCGCGGGTTCTATCCCTGCCCGTGGTATGGTTTGTTTGCAATCATGTCATTACGATTTTGTGAGTCATGATTCAGCAGCTTGTCTATATATCCTCTCTGTCCATTCAGGTTCTTTACCTTCCTATCCAACATCTCCCCTCTCTTGTTTTTAACTGCTAAGTCCATTTGCTCTCCAGGCTTTATCACCTTATTGATCTCACTTCAACATAGCTTCTTATTTTCAGAACATTGGTTAAAAATTATTTGTGCAGTTTGTATTTTTTAAAATTAAGAAGTGGGGCTAGAAGCTGCCCATATAATTATCATATTTTTTCCTCTTTCAATACCAAGGAAAACAATTGTGCTTCAATCATATTTAACACCTGAGGTATTTAATTATGCTAAAAAAAATTCCAGTAAAATATATGTTGGTATGGTAAGTATAGTATGTTAAAGATAATATTTGTGTAGGGATTCAGGCAGAACTGGTTAGTTGGATTCAAGCCTGGGTGGGAGGTACAGTGCCTGCATTCCGAAGGATGGGTTGGGTGTTGCTGTATGAAGGGCCATTTGATTCGTGATGTCTGCTCTCATTTGGTAAGACAGCTATTGAATGAATGATGGTGAATGTGCTTTTGTCTTTGAGTTACCCTACCTTGTTGAGAAATGGCTCATGTGGTTAAAAAAGATCCACAACATACTCTTCTTACAACCGGTAACCCCAGCTAAATAACAGTCCAGATGATATGCAGCACCTGAGGTGGGTTGGTGGTAGCCCATTTGAGCTATATATCTAGATTTGACATTGACATTTATGTGAATTTTGTTTTTAATATCTTACAGATTTTCTCATCACAGAAAATTACTAATTGTGGAAGGCTCCTGGTCTCAATACTGGTGGGTTATTCATGGGACATTGAACAGTAATATATAAGATTCATCCCTAAACTTTTCTCCTTTTTCTCATCCTTAACAATGAAATTGACCATCTATAAAATATGTTTATCATTTGTATATTCTTTTGTTGTTATAATATAAATTAGGAAATAAATAGATATATAACTGGCATTAGCTTAAATCTTTCTTAACAGATTTACACAGTCTGAGCGACGTGTGGTTAATCGACTCAGAAAGAAGTTCTTAGTAATCAATGCTGTCTTTTATCTCTGTTGGTTACCAAATATCATCAATGGTATTGTGTTGTGGTCAAAATGGGATGAACTTCCCAGAACCTTCATTCTTATCATTTGGTACCTAATGGTAAGTACAGTTTTAAATGTAAGAAATTTTCTGTGTCATTATCCTCAAATCATTACCATATATTATCTCACATGTCAATGTAGACTTTATTTTGGACTAATGCTAATTTAAAATGGAAAAATAATTTACTTTTGTATCAAGTATTTAGGAACTGAATCGGTAACATTCAGTTGTCAGTGCCCAGTAAACATGTCATTGTGTTGGTGATTCTGTTTCCTTGGATTACACTGTGTGTGAAATTCTTTTTTGATGTAGTTCTCTCTTATCATCAGTACATACCTTGTTTTTCTTCATGGGGTGGCCACTGCCACTAACAAATGTTAAGACTATTGAATGGGCAGTTTAAAAACATGGCAAGGAATTACACTTGCTAATTTGGTTGTCTTATAAGTGAAGTTGTTGCCATTTGTGTCTACTGAGAAACAGTTACTCCTGGATATAGCAAAGATTCTTTAAATTACTTTTTTGTAATAAGCTCTTTAACCCTTTGACTGTTTCGGTCATATATATACGTCTTACGCACCACTGTTTCTGACGTATTTATACACGTAAATTCTAGTGGCTTCAAATCAAGCGGGAGAAAGCTGGTAGGCCCACATGTGAGAGAATGGGTCTGTGTGATCAGTGTGCAACACATAAAAAGAATCCTGCAGAACGTCAGTGCATAATGAGAAAAAAACTGACCGTTTTTTTTTTTATTAAAACGCCAACTTTGAGGTGTATTTTCGTATAGTATTTATCATTGTATTCTCGTTTTCATGGTCTCAGGTGATAAAATGGAAAACATATTACAGAAATAGAGATGATTTTGATTACTTTCACAATGAAAACAGTAGTGGAAATGTTCGATTTTTACCAATGTTCAGGAGTAAGTAAATCACACCACACATCCAATACACTTCAACTGGGGAGTCTGATATCCTTTCACTAGTGCACTGATATTATTTATACCATTTTTACAATAATGCAGTAGTCTGCATAACAGTAAATTTTTGTATTTTTTAATATGAATAAAAAATCAAAATAGAAAGCAACAGTAATATAAGAGGGGCCTAGAGACGTGACTAATGAACAGAGGATATGTTATTTTAGTGCCAAGAATGTCTACATTGCTTATTCTGGAGCCTATTTTGAAATTGGCATCTTTTTTAATTTGCATGAAATTGGCTAAATTACCTATTTCTGACCACTTTATTGGGTAGTTCAAATTGGTAAATGGGCAGTTTCTTGTACTCAACAGATAGAAAAGATGGAGTTCTAAAGAAATAGCTATTAGTTTGGTCAACTGGAGCAATGGAATTGGCCAAAAACAGGGCTCGATGTCGGCAAAATTGCCGATGCATATATGTCGTTGAGACCGCTAACTTCGTGGGAGCGTAGTTCTGTGAGTTTTTGACCAAATTTCGTACTTTTGGTGTCATTACCATCGGGAAAAGATTCTCTATCATTTCATAAGAAAAAATAATTTATGTTTTTTCCAAAAATTTATCGACACAGAATGACAGTTTCAGAAAGGGGCCTACGACAGTCAAAGGGTTAACAAGAGACAAATATGTTAAAATATTGTTCACATTGTAATGAATCCATTACTTTTTACATTCCTTTGATTAGGTTTACCTTGAGTCTGTAAGTTCATAAAAGCAGCATTTGTGCATTATTTGTTAGCCATATATTTTTTTTTAGCTTCCTTCAACTTGTCATATTAAATTTTATGTCGGTTTCTCACGTATTGGACTGTTTTGCCGAGGTTAGGTTAGATTGTTGCCTATTAATAGAAACTAAAGTTACACCATGCCATAATACCGATAAATGCTATAATGTGTAAAGGCAGTAAAAAGTTTTGCAGCATAAATAGAAAATAGGGACTCACTGAGCGGTGTTACAATCACATACGTACTTGACTGTCTAAATCACAGTAAAATACTGGCTCTGATTAGGTGGATGGGGTACTTTCTTAGTGTAGAATCCCCTTGTGTTTTACTGGTATGGATATCATATGAAATCATTTTCATGATTTCTAAATCGTTAGAGAGCATTACTTATTATCTGAGCTAATGGAGTTACCATTAAAATGATGCAGTACCATTAATTGTGCCTTAAAGATAATCATGTCAGATACAGCAAGATAGATGTCAGTGAAGTAAATACCAAACGATCGATAATATGATTTACCAAAATGTCAAGTTAATTGATAATATTCATCTTAGGAAAACCTGCTTTGAAAATAAGACGACTTGATATGATAATAAAGTTTACATGTAAAATATTATTCTTAGTCCTATTTGGATAATATGCAAGAATAAAAGAATTTTATTTTGCCTTTACAATGTGAATATACTGTCCATGCATTACATGTATATTAACCCAGGTGCACCATTAACAATAAATAATTTAACTATGTAATAATGATCAAATAGAAGATTTGCTCAGGATAATACAGTATATCAATCATATCTGTGCACCACTAGGAAGACAGTGATAGCATGAATGATGGTGAAAATGTTTTTTTTTTTCGTCAGTAGGAGACAACCAGTCAGTGTGTAAAAAAAAAAAAGTACAGCCTCTCCTCACTTAACGACAAAGTTCTGTTCCTAAAACCACGTCGGTAAACGAATTCATCGCTAAGTGAGGGGCATACTTTAGTGGTAGTTGGTTTGTGTCAACCGTCTTAATATTGTTTTAATGCACTATTTATAACATTTCTGGTATATTTTTAAATGTTTATACAGCAGTGTACTGTATATTGTAATAAACAGAATAGAGGAAATCAGCTCTAATATATATTATTTAGGTATGTATACTGGTCAGAGAGCCCGTTGTAAGTCCGAGTCATCGGTAAACGAGTTCATTACTAAGTGAGGAGAGGCTGTATATCAAAAGGAGATAGGGTATGGTTGGCAGAGAGGTTTTGTGTACTGGGCGAGGTATCCAGTAGTCCTAGTCTCAATTTTTAAGGAATACTCTGGTAATTTTTAATTGAATTGTAATATTGACTTGTAATGTCCAGGTAATTTCCTATATGGAGTCAGAAACTTGCCGTTGATGGAGACTGTTATCCAAGCAATAGGAAATACAACATAATACATGGCTCTGCAAATTCACAAATAGAAAAGCTTGTAGATGCTACCAGAGGACAGTATTAGCCAGTTTGGTCAGTGTTAATATTTTAATGAATGATATTTTTTTTCAGGCAGTTCTAAATCCTTTACAAGCTGTCTTCAACTGTATAGTTTATCGGAGCTGGGATTCAGGGAGTAACCTTCCAAAGCCAGAGGTGGTAATACAGCAGTTTTGGAAGAAGAGGTCTTCTTGGCAACATGATGAAACCCTTACTAATATTGACGAGAGTGCTGATGAACAGGTGAGCCATTCGGTTTGTGGAGACAAAAAACGTTATCTATGGAGGCAAAGAAGGGAATGTATGAAAGTATAGTAGTACCAACACTCTTATATGGGTGTGAAGCTTGGGTTGTAAATGCTGCAGCAAGGAGGCGGTTGGAGGCAGTGGAGATATCCTGTCTAAGGGCAATGTGTGGTGTAAGTCTTATGCAGAAAATTCAGAGTGTGGAAATTAGGAGATGTGGAGTTAATAAAAGTATTAGTCAGAGGGCTGAAGAGGGGTTGTTGAGGTGGTTTGGTCATTTAGAGAGAATGGATCAAAGTAGAATGACATGGAGAACGTATAAATCTGTAGGGGGAGGAAGGGGGGGTAAGGTCATCCCGAAAAGTT